ACACCATTTCCCACAGCATTCTCCTGGAGAAACTGGCTGCTCATGGTATGGATGGGTGTACTGTTTGCTAGGTAAAAAGCTGTCTGGATGACTGAGGCCAAAGGGTCGTGGTGAACGAAGTTAAATCCAGCTGGTGGATAATCACAAGTGGTGTTCCCCAGGGCTCAATTTTGGTGACAGTTCTGTTTAATATTTTTATCAACAATCTGAATGAGGGAGTGGACTTCACCCTCAGTAAGTTTGCAGATGACACCAAGTTAGGTGGGAGTTTTGATCTGCTGGAGGGTAGGAAGACACTGCAGATGGATCTGGAGAGGCTGGATCGATGGGCTGAGGTCAATTGTATGAGGTTCAACAAGGCAAAATACCAGATCCTGCACTTCTGACACAACAACCCCATGCAATGCTATAGGCTTGGGGCAGCGTGGTTGGAAATCTGTCTGGCTGAAAAGGATCCGAGGGTGCTAGTCGACAGCCAGCTGAACACAAGCCAGCAATGTGCCCAGGTGGCCAACAAGGCCAATGACATCCTGGCTTGTATCAAGAACAGTGTGGCCAGCTGGGCTAGGGAAGTGATTGTCCCTCTGAACTTGGCACTGGTGATGCCACACCTCAAGTGCTGTATTCAGTTTTGGGCCTCTCGCTAGAAGAAAGACATTGACATGCTGGAGCAAGTCCAGAGAAGGCCAACTAAGTTGGTGAAGGATCTGGAGGGTAAGTCCTATGAGGAGCATCTGAGGGAGCTGGGGCTGTTTATTCTGGAGAAAAGGAGACTCAGGGGAGACCTTGTCACTCTCTACAACTACCTGAAAGGAGGTTGTAGCCAGGTGGGGGATGGCCTCTTCTCCTAGGCAACTAGCAACAGGACAACAGGACATAGCCTCAAGCTGTGCCAGGAGAGGTTCAGGTTGGACATCAGGAGGAATTTCTTCATGGAAAGAGTTCTTAAACATTGGAATGTGCTGCCCAGGGAGGTGGTGGAGTCACTGCCCCTGGAGGTGTTCAAGAAATGACAGGACATGATGCTTAGTGCCATGGTCTAGTTGACAAGGTGATGATCAGTCAAAGGTTGGACTTGATCTCATAGGTCTTTTCCAACCTAAATGATTCTGTGATTCTGTGAAAGTAAATTTCACTCCTATCTTCAAGAAGGGCAAGAACAGTTGGGGTGAATGGTGTTAAATCCAGCTGGCGGCTGGTCACTAGGGTTCCCCAGGGCTCAGTATTGGGGCCAGTTCTGTTTAATATCTTTATTGATGATCTGGATGAGGGGATCTAGGGCCCCTATTACAAGATAGACAATGAGGTGCTGGAGTGTGTCCAAATAAGCACAATGAAGCTGGTGAAAGGGCTAGAGCATAAGTCTTATGAGGAGCAAATGAGGAAACTGGGATTGTTTAGCCTGGAGGAAAGAAGGCTTGGGGGGGACCTCCAACTACCTGAAAGAAAGTTGTAGTAAGGTGGTGGTTGGTGTCTTCCCCCAGGTAACAAGAGACAGGATAAGAGGAAATGGCCTCCAGTTGCGCCAGGGGAGGTTTAGATTGGTTATTAGGAAAAATTCCTTCACTGAAAGGGTTGCCAAGCAGTGGCACAGGTTTCTCAGGGAAGTGGTAGAATCACCACCCCTGGAAGTGTTCAAAAAAGATCTAGAAGTGGCACTTGGGGACATGGTTTACTGGTGAAGATGGCAGTGTTAGGTTAACAGTGGGACTTGATGAACTTGGAGGTCTTTTCCACACTTAATGATTCTATGATTCTAAGGAAGACCAGGGAACTACAGGCCAGTCAGCATCACTTCTGTCCTGGGGATGGTGATGGAGCAACTAGCTGTGGAAACCATCTCTAGGCACATGAAGGACATGAAAAGTTGTCAGCAAGGATTCACCAAGGGGAAGTCAGTCATGTTTGACCAACTTAATAACCTTCTGTGTTTTCATAAATACATTAATAACAAAAGGAGATCCAAGGAAAACCTCCGTTCTTTATTGGACATAGCGGGGAATATAGTCACCAAAGATGAGGAAAAGGCTGAGATATTTAACATCTTCTTTGCTTCAGTCTTCAACAGTAAGACCAGTTATTCTCAGGACAACTGGCCCCCTGAGCTGGTAGACAGGGATGGGGAGCACAATGCACCCCCTGCAATCCAGGAGGAGGTAGTTACTGACCTGCTGTGCCACTTAGATGCTCACAAGTCTATGGGACTGGACGGGATTCATCCTAGGGTGATGAGGGAGATGGCGGAAGAGCTCGCTAAGCATCTCTCTGTCATTTATCATCAGTCCTGGCAAACCGGGGAGGTCCCAGATGACTGGAGGTTGGCCAACATGATGCTCATCCACAAGAAGGGCCAGAAGGAGGACCAAGGGAACTACAGGCCTGTCAGCCTGACCTTGGTGCCCAGCAAGGTTATGGAGCAGATCATCTTGAGTGTGATCACACGGCACATACAGGACAACCAGGGGATCAAACCCAGCCAGCACAGGTTTAGGAAAGTCAGGTCCAGCCTGATCTCCTGGGGTTGTTTAGCCTGGAGAAGAGGAGGCTCAGGGGTGATCTTATCACTCTCTACAACTACCTGAAAGGAGGTTGTAGCCAGGTGGGGGTCAGCCTCTTCTCCCAGGCAACTAGCAACAGGACAACAGGACGTAGTCTTAAGCTGTGCCAGGGGAGGTTTAGGTTGGACATGAGGAAGAATTTCTTCATAAAAAGGGTGATTAGACGTTGGAATGTCCTGCCCAGGGAGGTGGTGGAGTCGCTGTCCTTGGAGGTGTTTAAGGAAAGACTGGAGGTGGCACTTAGTGCCATGATCTAGTTGACATGGTGATGTTCAGTCATAGGTTGGACTCAATGATCACAGAGGTCTTTTCCAACCTATTTGATTCTGTGATTCTATGATTAAATGACTGGTCTGGTAGATGAGGGGAGAGCAGTACACATTGTCTACCTCGATTCCGGTAAGGCCACCGATACTGTCTTCCAGAAGATCCTCATAGAGGAGCTGTTGAAGTTTGGACTGTATGTGCAGACAACTGGCCAAACAGCTGGGCCCAGAGGGCAGTGATTGGTGGCACAAAGTCTAGTTAGAGGCTAGTTACTAGCAGTGTACCCCAGGGGTCAATACTGGGTCTGATCATATTCAAAACCTTCATTATTGATCTGGATGATGGAATAGAGTGTACCCTCAGCAAGTTCACAGATGATGGTGGCTAATACACCAGAGGGTCACGTTGCCATCCAGAGATACCTCGACAGGCTGGAGAAGTGGGCTGACAGGAACCTCATGCAGTTCAACAAGGGGAAGTGCCAAGTCCTGCACCTGGGGAGGAACAACCAGTATATGCTGGGGGCTACCCAGCTGGAAAACAGTTCTATACAAAAAGCCCTGGGGTTTCTAGTGGACCCCAAGTTGAACATGAGCCAGCAGTGTGCCCTCTTGGCAAAGGTAGCTAATCATATCCTGCATTAGACAGAGTAATGCCAGCAGGTTGAAGGAGGTGATCCTTCCCCTGTACTTAGCACTGGTGAGGCCACATCTGGAGTCCTGTGTCCAGTTCTGGCCTCAGACATGTACTATTCTCCCTTGACTGACTAGCTATGCTGTGCTTGATGCACCCCAGGATATGGTTGGCCCTTTTAGTTGCCAAGGCACATTGCTGACTCATATTCAACTATCCATCAACCAGGACCTCCAGGTCCCTTTCTGCAGTGCTGCTCTCCAGCATCTCATTCCTCAGTCTGTACGTACATCCAGGGTTGCCCCATCCCAAGTGCAGAATCCAGCACTTGTCTTTGTTATGCTTCATATGATTGGTGATTGCCCAGCTCTCTAATTTGCCTGCAGGGCCTCTCTGCCTTCAAGGTAGTCAACAGCTCCCCCCAATTTAGTATTGTTGGCAAACTTACTTAGTATACCTTTGAGTCCTGCGTCCAAGTCATTTATGAAGATGGTGCCCAGTGACAAGATGTAATGGACACAAAATGAAACACAGGAGGTTTCAGGTGAACATCAGGAAACACTTTTTCACTGTGACTGAGCACAGGAACAGGTTGTCCAGGGAGAGTGTCCCTCCTTGGAGATATTCAAAAGCCATCTATTCATGGTCCTGGACAACCAGCTCTAGGTGGTCCTGCTTGAGCAGAGAGGTGTGACAAGATGACCTCCAGAGGTCCCTTCCAACCTCAACCTTTCTGTGGTTCTGTGATCCTGCTCAGCCAGAGAGGAGAGCAGAATTAGGCCACTGGTGATCTCTGTGTCCAGCCATGTATACATGGGATGTATGTCTGCTCTGTGTGTGTGTGACTTCTGGGAATATATCTTCAGCTTTGCCAATGGTTGGACCTGGGGGCATGAAGCTGCAGCAGCCTCGCCTCTGACTGCTGAACCTAGGTCAATATTTTTCCACTAACAGTTTGCAATTGAATAGTCTCTTTTAGTTGATCACAAATAGCTTTTAAAAGAACAACAAATGCTTGTATCAGCAAAGTGGGCAGTTATTATTCATTATAAAAATTTGGAACAAATTTTTATAGACCTTAAGTTATTTGTCTAAAGTCACTGCTTCATAAGAGAACAGAACAACTCCTAAATTCAGTCTGAGTGACGGCCTGTGAACTATAGTCCCTCAGCATAGTATGATAAGAAACATCTTTATTGTACAGGACTACACAAACATTTCCTAGTCAAAGTTCAACCTAAGCATTTGCCATGATTACTGCAGTCTGTTTCAGCTGCTCTCAGGATCAGCCCCTCAGTTACGAAATCTTTTCCAAAGGTTCCAAATGTTCAAAAAATAAAAGGTACATTCAAACTTTGGTCAGAGCCATAAACAAGATGTTTCACTTAATAAATGTTAACCCAAAACACATATATGTTCGCATTTTCTAGAATTAACAAAGTTGTTAACAATATTTGCATGTATAGTTCATAACATTTTCACTTATAAAGACTTCATTTGGAAAGGATGAATGTTGATACAAAACAATAATTGCCTACTAACCTTTGCCAGGTCCACCAAAGTGTTGGCTTGATCATTCAGTTTCCTTTGTTCCATTTTTACACTTCTTAATCTAAAAAGTGGAATTTTAAGTCAGATTTTTGTGTGTGCACGTGTGCACCCGTGTGGTCATCTTGGGACTTTTTAAAAGCGTGCATAAGACTTACAAGAGCAGATAACTGCATGGACAATGCCTCAAGTGCTTTGTATAAAGTCAGAATTGGTCATGTGTCTGGTACAATGAGAAGCATGCCTCTTCAACACCGCAAAAGAAAAAGAGCAAGGAAATGTCATGTCCTTGAGACTACTGTTTGCCATGAGTAAAGTTGCATTCAAAAGGGGAGATAACAATTTATCCAGACTATATGAAAGTCAAAACACTCTTCAAAGCCTCAGTGTCATTATAAGTAGATATAGGAAGAAACATAGAACAAATGCTTTTTCGTCATTAATGTTGTCACTAATCAAGAATCTTCCCATGCCTACATGACTAGATACAGGTATTAGCCCTGTTCTGTCAGAAATGGACTGAATTAGCAGGTGTTTTAACTTGATGGAAATACAGTGATAAGTGAGTTTCTCATTACTTAAACAGCTTCCATCTGACCAGAAACCAAGTAACCAACATACTTGCCAACACATTTAATTTTCTTACCACTCTGAACATTTGTGAATTTAAATACGTTTACGTTTAAAACTTGCATGAGGCATATGTTTCCAATGCACTATTTAAACTGGACTACTCTATTGTATTTTATATTTTTATTTCATATTTTATATTTATATTTCATATTTGAAAAAAGAATCAAGGGTACATTTTCTCTTTAATGCTTAGCTAACTGCATTATTATTATTAATTAGTGATACCCATACTCTGAAAGATATGTAATTGACCTTTCCTAGGTGTTCCCTGAATCAAACTCCAAGTTTTTCAGATTAACTACTAAATGAGTGGGTTTTAGACGTGATTTTTAAAAATAAGCAATTTATATCTGAAGTATAACTGGGTTCTCATCTATCCTCTTAGCTATATATATATGGCACAGACTGGAAAACATATCTCTAGGTAGTGGTAAGTCTTTAGCTGCAGCAGCCAGATTAAAATAAAAATGGCAGATGTTTGTACTTAAATTCATTACTAGAAAATGTGAAACATTTTTTTATTTTTATGTACTTCACTTATCACGGCAAAAGATCATGATTCTGGATCGTGTTTCCATGACAGCAATCAGAACACTGAAGTTCACAAATAAAGACTCTATTTTTGCATGCAAACAGTGGTAAATTCTGCTAATTTAGGAAGGAACAGTTCATACAACTTACTTCCGAGCTCTGTTTTCATTTTGGTGAAATAAAAAGACAAAACAGAAGACAAACTGTAAAATATACTAAAACAACCAAATGAGCATGAGTGCACCTTCCCATTAACTGTCCCTTGCAGATTTTCTTCTTTTTACAATATATAAAATGTCTTACCACTCATTTCACCTTCACCTTATTAAGTGTGCACATGAAAGAAAAAGGATTGACACCAGCTGAAGATAGCAATCACAGGCAATATTTTTAGACCTCTGAGGGATGTGATTGTGAGTTTGAGACTGTTATCATTATCTACTCTGATTTCTTGAATAAAACTGGCCTTGAAACTTCACACCTTTTATTTCTGTCTCCAGCCCAATGATTGGGAAGGTGAGGGAGGGGAAACAACAAAAAACTTAAGAATCCATAAAGACAGAAAAGAGCCATTTGTTGCTAAGAGGTCCTTGTTTCCTTGAGAAAAGTTCAAAGGTGCAAGGGGAGAGAAACCAAATTGCACACAGTACTCTTCTGCAGCTGGAAGAAAGAAGACTGCTAGAACAATGTTTCTATCCATGGTCCATTCCTCAGCATGCTGACAAAATTATCCAATTTTCTTGCTTAAATACAAGTTTTGGAATAGGTAGCAAAGTGCTAAAGAACAGAGGGAAATATATTATTAACATAGATGTTCAAAGCTTGGCTGGCACATCTTGGAAAATATCACTGATGCCACCTGTAGTGGTTTGAACCTTGTTTTCCCCCAGAGGCTAAGAAAAGTGGTAACCCCCAAGGGGTGGAAACCCCTGGAAGTTTTGAAGTTCTGTCCAATGGGCGCTCCTGCAAAAATGTAAACGTATCACAAGCACCGGAAGAGAAGAGTTGTAGTTTTGGTAGTTAGAAGAAGTAGCCATGTTGTAGAGCCACGAGGAAGGGGCTCTGAGCCCCTCGGGGCCTCTGGGGCCTCCCAGCCCCGGGCTGGGGGAGCTGCAGAGACCTGGAACAGCATAAAGCTGGGCTAGGTGCCTGTAGTTATGCCGGGAGATGTTTTCTTCATTGTGGGCAGCAGCCGGAGAAAGCAACAGCCAGCACTGACCAGAGAAACGGTGGCAGAGAGCCAGAAGAGATAAGACGGAGCAACAGAGACATGCAGCACCAGAGAAAGAACTCCTGGAAGGAGAGCTGAGGAAAAGAGAGTCAGCAGTAGAGTTACAGAATTCTGGGGGTAAGAACTGATACCAGACCCCCCCAAACTCCTTTGATCCCTCTGAGAAAAAAGAGGGAGATGGACTCCTGTTTTGGAGAGCAGTTTTGGACATGCAGCACCAGAGAGAGAGAGAGGAGCTGAGAAGCTCAGAGCGTCCTGGGAAGCTGGACCGGGACGGAGAGGAATGTGGAGGAGGCTTCGCCCCCCCCACTGCCTTGAGACAGAGCACGGAGCTCTGCAAAAAGGAATTTGAATCCCCTGAGGAAGGGACTTTCACAAAGATTCCCCTGCATTTCGTGATATACCTGTGGTGATGCGAGTCTTGTCCCTGCTGGCAGTCCACAGGTGAGGCCTTCGCTTGGACCGAAGGAGAGCCGAGGGGCTTGGAGACCCCCTTGTATGTATTGAACAGAGATCCAGCTACAACAATCCAGCTACAACTGCTGCATGAGAAGAAGGAAACCTGCTGCCTTGGAAGATACTCCTGCTGTTCAGAGACTGGAAGGGATCTGTCCTTCTTTCCCTCCTGGACTTTTATTTGGAGGGGAGAAGAGATCTGGTCCATTGTAAATACTATATGTCATGGTAGAGATAGTTGTGATCGTGTGTATAATGTGTTATAGTATTTATTTGTACAGTCATTGTAATATATTCCCTTTCCCCCATTCTGAGTCTGGTTGTGTTTTGTCTGGAAAAACCCATCTCACATTGGGTTGAGATGTGGGAGGGGGAATGGAGCTAGGGAATTGGATTTTGGGGCTATCTCAAACCATGACACCACCTTCACACACACACACACACACACACCCCATGATTAATGAATTTTTAATGTAGGTGCAGAACACCACTTTACAACTAGTGAAGCTCTTCAGGGTTAAATGATATATAAAACTGCAGATCAAACCTCCTATGCTTTTTAATTTAGATTCCTCTTTTCATGCACAAATGTGTATACATGCACACACACATGGAGAAAATAAATAGCAAGGTTTAAATGTTATGGAGTAACCTTTGCACTCAGGGATTCAAGTCCAGCAAAGGACATACAGGACATGCCACCTTCTACCCCACAACCCCTGCCATTCCTCTCATTCTTCCAAATCCTTTAAGCTAAGCAGGATGACAGAACTCATAAAAACCCCTTTTATCTACCAAAAAATGCCTCAACTTTTGTGGACTCTATTGCCTCAAGTTTTTCTAAAAGAGCACAGTAACATTTAACCCTGAAACTTTGCTAAATATTATATAGTAATTAAGATTTGTACAATAGTTCATATCTTCTACCAGGAACATAGGTGGATCAGCTGGAGTCTACCCTCATCTCTCCTTACAGCCCTTGTCACACACAGATCCATACTTAGAAATTATCAAAACATCTGTTTAAAAGGAACCTTCATCAATCTACATCTCCCCAGCATGTAATGGAAAACCCATTTCACAGGTGATACAAAAAGCTGCCACAGGCTGGATAGGTATTGATAAGGGGTGACCAAAATATAAAATGATGACAAAAGATTGTAGCCTTAGTTGCTTACTAGAGCTAATTTTTAGATAGAATACTGTTAACTTAGAATAGGGCCTTGCTTGCTTATGGTAACTTACAGACAGGATATGATTAACTTTATAATAAGGGTTCTAGCAGAAACAGAGGTCTTGGAGTTTTGATAAGGAACTTTGAGGGAGACCTTGAAGTTTGATAAAGAGGGGTTCCAAGAGAAAGAGACAAGATGAAACCGGTTTTGAGGTGAGCAGCCAAAGGAAAAGAACCCAACTTAATTGACCTGGGAACCCCTCCTGACAGTCCAGTGTTCTCCCATACAAGAGAGCAGCAAGAAAAGAAAAAACAAGGGGTTCTCCAAGCTCCCCTTCGGGAGGCTATGGGCCCGGAGGGACCGGCATTGGCCAAGGTCCCTTTTAATTCTTTTGACTTGGATAGTTGGGAAAAAGCAGCATCAAGGTACCGCGAAGATCCACTAGGTGTCACCAAACGCTTTCAATTCCTTGTAAAGCAACATAGTCCAGACTGGGAAGATGTTCAATTGCTATTAGAATGACAGAAACCGAAAAACAATTGATTCTTCAAACAGCCCAGAGAATAGCAAGGGATCAAATAGGCAATGAAGAAGAGGAAAAAGACCACTTTCCCCTTCAAAATCTGGGATGGGACCCTGACCGGACAGCACACATGACTAAATTGAAAGCATATATGGAATGGGCAATCAAGGGAATGGAGCATGCTATACCCAAGTCAGTAAATTGGTCAAATCTTTTTGAAGTATGACAGAGACCTCAAGAATCCCCATCAGGATTTTTAGATAGACTAAGGAATGCAATGAGGCAACACACTCCTTTAGACCCCGGGTCAGAGATTGGGATCCAAGAGTTAGTTACTCTCTTTATCGGGCAGTCATCTTTGGATATTAGGAGAAAGTTACAGAAGCTCGAAGTCCCTGAGAATAGGAACCTGGAGAAGTTGCTGAGTGAAGCCTGGAAATTGTTTAGTAATAGGGAAGAAGAGAATAGGAAAAAAGGCAAGAGAGCCTTGGTGGCGGCACTTTGGGAAAATCCTAGCCCAGGGAGTAAACCCAGGCAACCCTTAGGGAGAAACCAGTGTGCTATTTGTAAAAGGCAGGGTCATTGGAAAAGGGAGTGCCCCAAAAGGCATCGAAGAGGGGGTGTCTCTTCCCTAATACAAGCACATATAGATCAGGATTGACGGGGACCTGGGGAATCTACCTTAGTGAATTCACTGGTTACATTAAGGCTAGGGGAACAAAAGCAAGAAGTAGAATTTTTAATGGATACAGGAGCTACATTTTCTGTATTAAACCAAGCATAGACCAGAAGATGGGGACTAAAGACATTCTGAAACTCCTGACTCTATTGCTATGTACAGTGACAGAGATAAGGACCTGGACTGAGAACACATATGTAAAAAATTTAGAAACTTTGGTGAAAACTGCAAATGTTACAGATTGCTGGATATGTACTGCCTTACCCAGAGGAGAAATGAAGCTACCAGTGTATGGGATAGCTGCCAGTAACTGGAACGAGGACAATGGCACTTGGCCTGCATTCTGAGCAAAGAAAGGAAACAACTCTAACAGATATTGTGAAAAGGACACTGAAACTAACCACCCATTGGGACCAAGGTTTGATCTGCAGATACTACAGGATGATAATTTTGCAATATTAGTAAGCAATAATAGCTGCCCCTGGGAAACTGGCTATTGGAACTCAGGTCTGCTTTTCTATGAACTCGTTCCATGGGGATGGAACAAAGACTGGATCAATAAAACAACTGTAGTCATAGGAGAATGGAATTTTACTAATATTAATGTCACAAACATTGATTTTTGTAACAAAACTCAACTTCAAGCATATGGTTATACAGGAATAGAGAACATTACAAAAAGACCTATTGGTTGGTACAAGGCAGGGAACTTCCTTGGCACAAACTTGACAGCCACAAAAGGCCCTTGTAAGCTACCCACAGGATATTGGTGGTTATGTGGAGATGGGTATAGTAGAAAACAACTTCCCCTAGGATGGAAAGGGATGTGCACTGTAGGCTATTTGACTAGCCAGGATAGGTTCTATAATCAATCCAAGATCCCCTCAGGAACTTTGAGAACTCTCTGGAGAAAAGTTAGGGGTGTAGAAAACCCACTAGTGAAAAGGGGAACAAGATTTCACAGCTTTGTGAGATGGTTAATACCATCCATTGGAGTGAGTGAATTACAGAAAGGTATAGTGAACATTTCAGCTACTATAGAAAATTCTACCTTAGAGCCTTGCAACAAGAAGTCAAGTCTCTAATCAGTGTAGTAACTCAGAATAAAAAGGCCTTAGATTTACTGACCTGGAAAGAAGGAGGGTTGTGTGCAGTGATTAACCAAAGCTGTTGTTCATATGTGGCACAAGACAGACGAATAGAAAGAGATCTGCAAGCAATTATGGGCAAAGCTAAACTTTTACACGAGGTAGCCCTAGATGATACACAGTGGGGATTTTCTGATTTGTGGAAAAAATTAACTTCCTGGTTACCTGACTTTGGTTGGCTAAAGCAACTATGTCGAGGACCAGGAATCGGAATGGGAACGATTCCGGAAATGGAAAATTATGTACAGCGATTGAATGGACTTCACACACTGTGTGTCTCCCCCGAATTTGTATCTTCTGGGCATGTCCCGGCTTGCTCACCTCCCTGCACCTCTGTCTTTTCTGCTGACTGGCTGGAGAAGCTGCGGCAGGAGACAGCCCCCATTCGCCCTTTCCTCCCCTGGTCCCTCCTGCGCTCTCCCCCCCCTTTTTGCCCACGGCTCAATCCTGGTTTGTCCCCCCGTCTGTCTGTCTCCTGCTCCACCCTATGTTCTGGCCCTTTCCCTCCGGATAAAAACCCCGTGTGCACGCTGGATTAAAGATTCTACCTGCACCCCACCTTTGTGTCTGGGATCCGTGCCGTGTCGCGGCCCCATTCCCCTCCCCCGCTCGGACCGCGGCACAACTATTTGTTGTGGTCCTTACTGTAATAACTTTAGGAATTTTGATCTGTGTTTTTCTTAAATATTTTGTATGGTGTTCGAAAAGTAGTAGTGACAGTTACTTAGAATGGAAAAAAACACCAATTAAGACAGAAGGTAGAATCAGGGAACTATTTTGCAAAAGTCCTCAGTCATAATGAAATTTTATAGAGAATAGTAAAAGAATTTACTTAAGATATAGAAAAGGGGGAATTGATAAGGGGTGACCAAAATATAAAATGATGACAAAAGATTGTAACCTTAGTTGCTTACTAGAGCTAATTTTTAGATAGAATATTGTTAACTTAGAATAGGGCCTTGCTTGCTTATGTTAACTTACAGGCAGGATATGGTTAACTTTATAATAAGGGTTCTAGCAGAAGGAGGTCTTGGAGTTTTGATAAGGAGCTTTGAGGGAGACCTTGAATTTTGATAAAGAGGGGCTCCGAGAGAAAGAGACAAGATGAAACTGGTTTTGAGGTGAGAAGCTGATGCCAGCTCAGCAGTTCTTTGCAAAGGTGAAAAGTTCAGAACTGAGGAAGACTCTTACTTCATCCAAAAGACCCCTCAATGAAGATCCCCAAGGGGCATTCCAAGATGGAGTTATAGGAGTGATGTGCGATAATGATTTCCCCTTCCAATTTTCAGGAATTTGCTGACACAGCTAATGCATATGTAACACAACTAATGCATATATAACATTGTATCGCATAAAGGAAGCTGAACCAGGGCAATAGGTGTGTATGATAGGCAAATTTATTCCCCATGCACCCGGCGCTGGAATAAAACATACCTGCTTCAATACTCTTTGTGAGTTTGGGGATTTGTTTCCACAAGTCTGTATCTCAAATAGAACAGACAAATAGCATGGGTCCTGGATGTTCCTTATGATGAGTTTGTGGATGCTGGGGACAAGTGTCTTTTTATTTCTCCCATGAATCATTGTACAATTTTAGCTGACTGTGGCTTAGAAAACTCCTACAAACACTCTCAACAATTTGGCATTACCCTGTGCTGCATATGACCAGAGTATTTTCTTTTCTAAATAGATACTACAGTAAAACCTTATCTTTGTCTTACTCTGAAAGAAAAAGGAAATGCAAACTCAAGAGCACAATTCTAGGAAGGGAGTGCATGTGTGAGGGAAGGAGAGTGTGTGCAGGAGAGGAAGAGTGCACAAAGAGGAGTGTGTGCAAGAGAAAGAAATGGAGAAAAAGAGAGCAAGGGTGTAGAGGAAAAAAAGGGGGGGGGGAAGAGAGAACAAGATACTGAAAGAGACTAAGAGACAGAACGTAAGACAATGTAAAGGGGGGGAGTGCTCACAGTTTTGTCAAAAAGAAATGGAGTTGGGGTGGGGGGTGGGGAGGGAAAGAGAGAAAGTAAAACAGAGAGAATGAAAGGGGGAAAGCAAGCAAGAGAAAAGGAAAGAGACAGAGAGAAAGCCAGGAAAGGGGAAAGAGAACAGCAGGGGCACAGGAGAGACTGAGATAAAGAGGGAGGGGGTAAGAAGAGGGAGAAAGAAAAAGGAGTGAAAAAGCAGAACAATACGGAATATAAGAGAATATGAGAGAGAGGAAGAAATCTATTGCGACAGAAAGAAACGTTAAGGGGGGAGGAGATGGAGAGACAGCCATGTAGGAAGAAAAAGAGAATATGAAAGGTAGTAAAAGGGGATGGAAGGGAGGGAGGGGGGGTTGAGAGAGGAATAGGAAGGGATACAGAAGGGGGATGAGAGAAAACAAGAGTCAGAATGAGAACAAGAGAGAATGAGGAAAAGAGAACGAGAGGGGAGGAGAAAGAGTGCTTGGACAGGAAAATAAGGTAAAATTGTACTTACTGATGAATAGCTTGCAAGAATTTTCGTTGATGTTTCCTTATTTTCGCATGGTCTACCTTTTTAACCAGCTTTGTACTTTTATAAATTAACCATGTTTCCCTGAGTACATTGGCTGCTGCATTTTTCACCTGTTTCATAAAAAAAAACAAAACACCAGGCTGACAAAAATAGCATTATGTTCTTTTCTATCTTTTCTGATATAAGGTCTTTCTAAAGCACTTAAGACTGTTTGACTATGGGAAATGGGTACATGAAGAAGCTGCAGCAGTGAGGCCAGAAAGCAATTATCAGTCCAAAGGAATTACTGAGCAATTTCCATGTTGTTTATAAAAGCGATATTGGGACAAACTTTCTTTGCATCTGGAAATTACTTCTCCCTTTTGAAAAGAGTTACCACCATTTGTTGTTTATGACAATTTAAATTACGGTGAAGGATTATTAATTTCTTAGCCGCATGGCAATTAACTAGATGCATTTTATAGGACCATAAAATTTCTCTTTCCTCTTGTATCATTATTACCTTTGTTTCTCTTAGCAATTTAACAGTCTTATAACTTTTCAGAACTGTTAGAACAGGGGTTTTTGCTTTTTTTATTTTTATATTTTCCTTTATTCTGTTTTCTTTCTTACCATTCTTAGAGGATATGAAAAAACAACTTGTCAATAAATGTAGGCAGTGTTCTATTTCATGAGTGCTTTGAATTTGTTTTAAATTAGACTTTCTATAAAATGTTAAACACAAGAATACCTACAGTTCCTTCCTAGGCCCTTCAGTATTCCCAAGAAAATTTGAAAGCAATAGACAAAGAATTTCAATGCCATATTAATTAATGACAGAATTACTAGGCTACTTGCAAAAACAAACAGTTCTTGTTATTAATCTGTATTTTCTCTCCCTCTGACTTTGTATCATGCCAGTCAATGCAGTGCCAGAACTAACCCAATGTATAAAGACATTTTAGGAATTCTATGCAGTAGCTCTTCCCAGCAGGAGTTCCCAAACTTGAAACCATAAAAGCATTGGAGAACTTTGGTCCTGACTTTAGTGGAAGCAGAATAAGATTTTAGAGACTTCCTCAAGACCTCTAGTCCTTGCATTTCCAGAAGATTTGGTTATCTTCAGGCTGTGAGGAAACATCTCTAGTATCTGTGTAATGGATTTGTGATCTGAGGTACATCTCAGATTTGGTTGCTTGTTTTGCTTGCTTTTCATTTCCTTTGAGTTTCATGAGTCTGGAACTACCAAAACACCACTTAGATACACTATTAAACTGATATTTAGATTTATATGAAAGATAACTGAATAGAATAAACCTTAAAATTCTATATATTCTTCTCATATACTGCATGGAAGCTTGTCAGTTTAATATATTAGTCTTTAGTTTCACAACTTTTAACTGTTGGTTATATCAATTATCTTTCAGCTGCAAGGACCCTCTACAGAAGAATATTCAAATCCTAAAAATCTTCTGAGAACCTGATGTTGCCCTCAGGGCATTCAATTCCTCCACACAGCACCTTGCAAAATCACACCCATGAAAAAGTGAGACAAAAGAATGGAGCATGAAACCATTTAAAACAAATGCAGAAATAAATTTAATGCACATTTCAGTTGTGAATATAAAGTGTGACTTACTCTTTTAGTTAGTTGGGTGTCCATCATGAAATTATGTACATGTTTTTCAGCTTTGGTAAGTTCTAACTTCCTTGCAACCACAGCTACCACCAGTGCAGTACACCCAGCACCCTGAAAACAACAAAAAAAACCCCCAAGATGTTACTACTGCATTTTGCAGAGTTTTTAATGGAAGTTTCTCCTTCGCTGTAGAAATATGGCAGGTGATCGATCCCTGATAAACATGCTACAGCTATTTCAATTCAGAACAATAGAAGTCAGCAATTGCAGGCTGGTAAACTGCCAAGGCATCAAAATAATTGGTGATCAGCACTATTTAAAAATCCTGGTTTTTTACCTTCAGGGGTTGAAAATTCAAACACATTCCATTTCTAGTGCATAAACAAAGGGCACGATCAGAACAATTTTAAAGTCACAATGGCGATCAAAAGAGACTTCAAAACCCTGGGATGGTTGGTGCACAGGTCATTTTTTTCCTCTATTCTTCCAGTGCAGGCAGTGACATTGAAAGAAACAGATGGACCCAGTCTATTAATACATGGTTCCGTGGTTGGTGTCATTGCCAAAATTTGGATTTCTTTGACAATAGAATGCCCTATATGGCACCAGGCTTGCTGACATCAGATGGGATTCACCTCTATCAAAGGGGAAAGAGGGTCTTTGGTCAGGAGTTAGTGGGGTTTATTGATAGGGCTTTAAACTGCATATGACAGGGAGGGGGAATATCAGGATTGCTGGTGATAAGGTATGGGATGACATGCAATCCTGATATTGAGCCCCTCGAGATTTGAACCCCTCAAGATTTGAACCAAACTTTGCAATTTTTTTTAGTTGTTAATCAGTAGCCATAGCTAGACAGTTATGATTAAGCAATTGCACTGTAGGCTTGACTAATCCTTTGTTTTCAGGAAAAGGGAACAGAATCCCAAGATGAACGGGTTGTCTGGATAAGAGCCACCAGGAGTGAAGTCAGCAGAACTGAGCAGTAACTGAGGGAAAGGTAATTCCTGCAGGGGAGATTGAGACCACCAAGTCATTGACCACCTACTCAAAATGGACCCCTGACTCAAATGGAGGGAAGAACTGCGCATGTGGACTAATTAGCATGAGAAGTGAGAGATATAACTGGCAAATAAGGGTTTGAGTACTAATTAATGCAAAAGCTATGTAATCTGTAACCAATGAATGCTGATGCCTTTTTTAAAATTTATAAATACTGTGAAGTTTTGATGATTGGGGAGTCAGCCTTTTGGGAGTTACCACCTGGCTCCCTACTTTGCACAAACTAGAATAAAGAAATAGAAATCCCTTGCCTTGGTGTGGGAATTGGCGTTGCACACTGGGGAATGAACTCGTGCTTGGGACAACAATACCACTCATAGCCAGCAAGAGATGCCCAGAACCTGGAGAGGGATCTCAGGTCAGCAGGAAAGCACCTGAAGGACAGCACCAAGGAATTCCAGCCACTCCAGACAGAAAGGCAGCTTGATTGGGGGCCCAACTTAAATGCCTCTATACAAACACACACAGTATGGGGAATAAACAGGAGGAACTAGAGACATGCACACATCTGCACAACTATGATCTTACTGACATCATGGAAACATGGTGGGATGACTGCTATGACTGGAGTGTTGGAATGAAGGGATACAGGCTCCTTAGGAAGGACAGGCAGGGGAGATGAGGAGGCAGTGTTACCCTCTATGTTAATGACCAGTTGGAGTGCATGGAGCTCTGCCTGGGGATGGATGAAGAGCCAACTGAGAGCTTATGGGTCTGGATTAAAGGGAGGGCAGGGACAGGTGACATTATAGTGGGGGGTCTGCTACAGGCCATCTGACCAGGAAGACTGAGCGAATGAGGTCCTCTACAGACAAATAGGAGCAGTCTCAAGTTCACAAGCCCTGGTCCTCATGGGGGACTTCAACTACCCTGACATCTGTTGGGGGGACAACACAGCAGGGCACAGGCAATCCAGGAGGTTCCTGGAATGTGGGCAGCAAGGATGATGCACAATAAGCTCACTACCCTGGGCTTCAGGAGAGCAGACTTTGGCCTCTTCAGGAGTCTGCTTGGTAGACTATCATGAGGTAAAGCCCTGGAGGGAAGAGGGACCCAAGAGACCTGGATGATATTCAAGGATTGTTTCCTCCAGGCTCAGGGGCAATGCATCTCTACAAAGAAGAAATTAGGGAAGAACACCAGGAGGCCTGCATGGATGAACAAGGAGCTCCTGGACAAGCTCAAACACAAACAGGTAGACTACAGAGGGTGGAAGCAGGCACAGGTAGCCTAGGAGGAATACAGAGAGATTGTCCGAACAGCCAGGGATCTGGTTAGGAAAGCTAAAGCAGTGTCAGAAGTAAATCTGGCCAAGAACATCAAGGGTGACAAAAAATATGCTTTAGGTACATCAGTTATTAAAAAAAAGGCTAGGGAAGGGTATGGGAGACCTGGTTATCCAGGACATGGAGAAGGCTGAGGTACTCAATGACTTTTGCCTGTCTTCACCAAGCAAGTGTTCCAGCCACACCGCCCGAGTTGCAGAAGGTGAAAGCAGGGATTGGGAGAATGAAGAAATGCCCATTGTAGGAGAAGACCACGTCTGAGACCATTTAAGGAACCTGAAGGTGCACAAGTCCATGGGACCTGAAGAGATACATCCAGGGGTCCTGAGGGAACTGGCCAAGGAAGTGGCTAAGCCACTATACAATATATTTGAGAAGTCATGGCAGTCTGGTGATGTTCCCACTGATTGGAAAAGAGAAATAAGGAAGGTCTAGGCAACCACAGGCCAACCAGTCTCACCTCAGTGCCTGTCAAGATCGTGGAACAGTTCCTCCTGGAAACTATGCTGAGGCACATGGGAAATAAGGAGGTGATTGGTGACAGACAACATGGCTTCGCTAAAGGAAAATCATACCTGACAAATTTGGTGGCCTTCTACAGTGGGGTTACAGCTGTGGTGAATGAGGGAAGAAAGACCAACATCATCTACTTGGACTTGTGCAAAGCAATTAAGACTGTCTTGCATGACATCCTTGTCTCTAAACTGGAGACACAGGGATTTGATGGATGGACCACTCAGTGGATGAGGAATTGACTGGATGGTTGCACTCAAAGAGTTGCGGTCAACAGCTCAATGTCCAAGTGGGGAGCAATGATGAGTGGTGTTCCTCAGGGGTCGGTATTGGGACTGGCGCTGTTTAACATCTCTGTTGGTTACATGGACAGTGGGATCGAGTGGACCGCCAGCAAATTTGCCAACGACACCAGACTGTGTGGTGCAGTTGATGCAGGAGGGAAGGGATGGCATCCAGAGGGACCTTAACAGGCTTGAGTGGTGGACCTATGCAAACCTCATGAAGTTCAAACAAGGCCAAGTGCATGGTCCTGCACCTGGGTCAGGGCAATCCCAAGCTGGGTGGAGAATGGATCGAGTGCAGCCCTGGGGAGAACGACTTGGGGTGTTGGTGGACAAAAAGCTCAACATGTCTCGGCAATGTGCGCTTGCAGCCCAGAAAGCCAACTGCATCCTGGGCTACATCAAAAGCAGTATGGTCAGCAGGTCGAGGGAGGTGATTCTGCCCCTCTAGTGAGACCCCATCTGGAGTACTGCATCCAGCTTTGGGGCTACCAACACAAGAAAGATGTAGACCTGTTGGAACAAGTCTAGAGGAGGCCACTGAGATGATCAAAGGGCTGGAGCACCTCTCCTATGATGACAGGCTGAGAGAATCAGGGCTATTCTGGTTGGAGAAGAGAAGGTTTCAGGGAGACCTTATAGAAGCCTTCCGGTACCTAAAGTGGGCCTACAGGAAGGTTGGAGAGGGCCTTTTTTTGCAAGGGCATGCAGTGATAGGACAAGGGGGAATGGCTTTAATCTGAAAGACAGTACTTTTAGACTGGATATTAGGAAGAAATTCTTTACTGTGAGGGTGGTGAGGCACTGGAACAGGTTGCTTAGAAGTTGTGAATTCCCCATCCCTGGAAGTGTTCAAGGCCAGGCTGGATGGGGCTCTGAGCAACCTGGTCTAGTGGAAGGTGTCCCTGCCCGTGGCAGAGGGGTTGGAGCTAGATGATCTTTAAAGTTCCTTCCAACCCTAACCATTCTATGATTGTATGATTCTATTATTAATATTAGTAAATAAATGCAGAATACCCTGTTTTTAAAAATTGTCTAGAATGTGCAGGAATTGCTATAGAAGATATAAGATTATATTAGCATTTATCACACACAAAATTTTTCTTAGTATGTTCTTTAAGACCTAAAGATAAAGTTATCATTAATTTAGTATTTCATCACTTTGGTATATGTACAGTACACCAGTGGATGGTTGTAGTACAGGTATTGGTTCTTATCTCTGAAGCACAGGCTGCCAATCTCCTGAAAGTAGGATGGGTAGGAGGTATTCTCTAGATAATGAGTGTAGTCCATATATTGAATGCATTCCATGAGCTAATATAGTACATGGGGTAAATCAATTAATGCACAATTATAGATAGAATGTTGGAGGGAGGGGGGATAAATGTACCTTATGGGTTCATGTGGTTGAAACAGTGACAGTTTTTCAGCCCATAGACTTGAAGAAAAGCCAAGCAGGAGCTACTATGACTTATGTTGTGCTTTTTTTAGCATTGTGTTTTGTTTTAGAGGGGTTGGAAGTAGTGTCTAATCTATCTCTGTAATATGCAGTGGTTGGTTTGGTAGTAGTGTCTGTTATGGGGTGTAGAGGGTTGAGGGGGACCCTGTGCAAAACATGGGTGAGGAGATGAACTGTTTTGGAAATTTCTCTTTGCTCAAGAGACCTTTCATGGCTAAAAAATATAAGTTTGGAAGAATGTATGAGAATTCTTTCTTTCTCTTGGACTGTTTTTTGTCAGGACGAATAAAGCAGGCAAACCCTTATCAAGGAAGGTGTTTGCAAGCTACATAAAAGCATTCTTTCTCACAGATGGGGGAAGGGAAGAGAAGAGAAAGGGAACAAACTGCAAAAAACAGCCCAGAGGGCTATATGCGCATGCCTTAGCCCTTTGATAGGTATGGACAAGGAGCCCTGCTCAGCATGTGTTGTTTCTTTCCACCCAGCTGAGAGTTTTTGCAGTTGTAT